GTATACACTGCAGTTTAAATTTGCATCTCCCTGGTGACAGCTGATACCAGGTATCATTTCACATGTCCATTTGTCATCTGTAATACCCTCGGTGATGGAGTGTCTATGCAGATTTTCTGCCCGTTTATAAAGTTCTCTTTTTGAACTTTAAGAATTCCTTTTACATGTTCTGGATAAAAGTCCTTTATCAGATATGTAATTTGCAAATATTTTCTCCTAATCTTATGGCTTCCCTAGTGGCTCAGAGGGTAAAGTGTCTACCTGCAATGTGGGACACCCAGGTCTGATCCCTGGGTCGGGAAGATCCCCTGGAGAAGGAAATGGCAACCAACTCCAGTACTCTTGCCTGGAGAATCCCATGGACGGAGAAGCCTGGTGGGCTACAGTCCATGGGGTTGCAGAGAGTTGGACACGACTGAGCGACTTCACTTTCACTTTGCTTTCTCTTATTCTGTGCGTTGTCTTAGGGGCCTCCCCACTGGCTCATCAGTAAGGCAGCCGTGCAGGAGACACAGGACCCCCGGGCTCAGTCCCTGATTTGGGAAGATCCCCTGGAGGAGGGCACGGCAGCCCACTCCAGTATCCTTGCCTGGAGAGTCCCATGGACGGGGGGCCTGGTGGGCTACGGTCCATGGGGTCGCAGAGAGTCAGACGCGACGGGAGCAGCTGAGCAGAGCGCAGCACGTGTGCTCTCGTACCAATCTCCTAGAGAGAGCAAAGGCTTTTTAAATTTGTTTATTTTTTTAAATCAAAGTGTATTTGATTTACCATATTGTGTTGGTTTCAGATATACAGCAAAGTGACTCAGTTGTACGTGTATATATCTGTATTTATTCTTTTCCATTATAGTGTATTTCAAGATACTAAGTATAGTTCCCTGTGCTATACAATAGGACCTAGTTGGTTATCCATTCTCTATATACCAGTTTGTATCTGCGAATCCCACACTCCTAATTTATCCCACCCCCACCCCTCCTGCCCCCTTTGCTAACCATGTAAGTTTGTTTTCTTTCATTTGTATCTTTTTTTTTAAGATTCTACATATAAGAAACATCATATGATATTATCTTTGTCTGTCTGGCTTACCTCACTTAGTATGACCATCTCTAGGTCCATTCATTTTGCTGCAAATGGCACTATTTCATTCTTTTTATGGCTAAATAAAATTCCATTGTAGATATATAAAGACCAAAGTTTTGTAAACACTGAAAAAGTCCACTTTGTCAATGTTTTTCTTTCCGGGATTGTGATTTTGTGTTGTATTTGAAAACTCATCAGCAAACCCAAGGTCATATATGTATTCTCCTGTATTTTTTCAAGAAGTTTTTTTCTTTGTTTATTTTACATTTTACATTCAGATCCATGATCCATTTTGAATCATTTCTATCTTGGGCCATGCCACACAGCTTATGGAATTGTAGCTCCAACCAAGGGTTGAACCCAGACCCTCAGCAGTGAAAGCTTGTAGTCCTAACCACTGGACCACCAGGGAAGTCCCTTGAATGATATTTTATTTGAGATGTAAGATAAGTGCCTAGGGTCAGGTTTTTACATAGAGGTGTCCATTTGTTCCAGCATCATTTGTTGAAAAATGTTCCCCCATTCACTTTACCTTTGTACACTTGTCAAAACTTTGATATTATTTGTGTGGGTCTGTAAAAAATCCTGCTAGGATTATGATAGGAATTGCATTAAACCTGTATTTTGGGGAAATCAATATATGTACTATATTGAGTCTTCTAATTTATGAACATAGTAAATATATCCATTTATTTCATTAAAAAAATTTTATCAGCATTTTGTAGGTTTTAACATACAGATCCTGATATTTTGTTAGTTATACCTTTGAAATTTGTCAGAACTTGCATTATGACAGTATATTTTGAAGACTACATGTACATTTGAAAAGAATGTATATTCTGCAGTTGTTAAATGATTTTTTCTTTATATGTCTATAAGGTCAGGTTTGTTAATCTTGTTGTGTAAAACATCCATATCCCTTCTGATTTTCATGTGCATGTTACTGGGAGAGATTGAAAAGTATGCCACCATAATTATGGGTTTGTCTAATTCTCACTTTGGTTCTGTCATTTCTTTAAACATATTTTGAGGCTGTTATTAGGTACATTTAGAATTTAGACTTGGTATATCTTCCTGATTAGTTGATCTTTTTATAAATATATGTCTCTCTTTATTCTTAGTTATAATTATTGGCTTAAAGCTGACTTTGATATTATTATAACTACACCAGCTTTCTTTGGTTACAATTTGTCTGACATACCTTTTTTCATTCTTAAAATTTCAGTTGTTTTTTGCTTTTGTATTTAAGGTATGTTGGTATGCATCACATGGTCACATTTTATTTTGGTTATATCCAGTCTAAAAATGTTAGTCTTTTATTTGTAGCACTTCATATATTACACTTAATATAGATGTTGATATATTTGGGCCTACATTTATGACATTACTCTTGATTTCTGCTCTTTTTTTCCTTCTGTCTTTGGGTTTGTTTTGCTCTTTTTCTAGTTTCTTAACGTGAATGCCTGGATTATTGACTTGAGACCTCCCTTTTTTTTTATGTTAAGTATTCAGTACCATAAAGTTCTCTTTAAGCACCACTTTAGCTGCACCCCCCCAGACTTTGATATATTGTATAGACATCTTTCAGCTCAGGATACTTTCTAATTTTCCTTGGGATGTCCTCTTTGATCCTTGGACTATTTAAGAGAGTGTTGTTTAATTTCCAAGTGACTGGAAATACTTTTGTTATTTTTGTTATTTACCCTAACCCTCTAACCCTAACCAACTCATGTCCATTGAGTCGATGATGCCATCCAACCCTCTCATCCTGTCACCCCCTTCTCCTCCTACCCTGAATCTCTCCCAGCATCAGGGTCCAACAAGTCAGCTCTCCGCATAAGGTGGCCAAAGTATTGGAGCTTTAGCTTTCTTGAGCTCTTCCTTGTCACCTCCCTAACACTTTCTGGTTCCCTGGGTCTTTCATTTTCTGTCTGGCCACTGACTACTCACTTCCACACTTGTCATGTCTGGGCCAAACACTGGGAGAACAGAGAGGGGAGTTTTGGCTGATGGCTCCTGTTGCTGCCACCGCAGAACTGCCTGCTGCCTGGGGTGGAAGAGAACCAAGGGAAAGGAAAGGGGCTTTCATCTGCACTCTTGGAGCTTTGGGACATTTCCTTTCCCCTTCCTGAAGCCTGGCTTCTCCTGGAGCCCTCTGCTCTGCCCCAGTGCTCACCTCCAGGGTTTGGGTGTGTTGAGTTCAAGGCGGGCTCTACCCGAGGGAAAGAAGCAATGGTGCTTTGGCCTCAGTGTCCTTCCCGACTGCTGGTGCTGTTAGCTTCCTTGCGATCTCAAAGAGCTGCTCTGTGTGTTCTCTTCAGGTTTTAAATGGACAAGAAGAGTGGCATGTGTTTTCTCTGTCTTTACCAGAATTAGAACCTCTGATTGATATTAAAAACTTTATTTTCTAATTAACTCATCTTTATAGGTGGGATAACAGTTGATGTTGCTAGTAAGAGTTTAGGTAAGCAGCCAGATTGCATAGTTTAATTCTCTTGGCTTTATTTATGCTTGCCTTTATGTCAGCTGCACATGATGCTATTTTGGTCTCTTCCTTTGATCACATAGTTTTCACCGTAGGTTTCTATTTGCACTTTCCAAGTAGCCTCGTGAGGAAACGTACCCTTGCTATTTCTTTGTGAGTGGGGCTCAGCCTCTTACACGACTGTGTGGCAGGGTTAGTCAGGGCAGCAGGTTCAGATGTACCTCACCTGAACCGTACGAGGCACAGTTTTGAGAAAAATTAGATGGGGATCCTTGCTGAAGATCCTTTCTGGCTAAGTTTGTGCTTGCTTCTCTTCAGAACTGCTGAACCACAGTAGCCTTCTGAACTCATCAAGCTGGGTGTAATTTCAGAACGGATTTGCACGTAGCTCTTTTGAGATGCAAATCTTTGCAGAAATTACACCTGATGCAGTTGCGCTGGCAGCTGGTGTCTACACTCAGGAAGTGGGACAGGATCTCCACGGAGGCTCAGACTCATTCACATGCAACTCAGAGGCCACATGAAGGTCTAATTACCCCTGTGACCTTCCCGTCTGCATCTGTGATTGGTTAAGAAGTGGAGAGATGATACTGCAGCCCTGGTTGCTATGGTCAGGTAGGAAGGCAGAAGAACAGTGGGGGCAGCCGAGGTCAGCCTGGTTCCAGCCTCAGGTGGGATGACGGTCCAGCTCCCTGTGCTGCCGTCGCGGCCCCTTATCTCACCCAGCCTCCATTAGCTCATCCGTAAAGCACAGTGCGCGCTTCCCTTGTGAGGGGAGGCTACTGAGGGAGGCGTGAGAAAATGCACAGGAAACTGCAGTCTGCTGAAATGTGAAGTGCCACCCAAGTGTTTATTAGAAAATATTTGAAGAATAACAGATAAAAATAGATGAATGATGAATCAAGAGAAACAAGTCTAATACTAGAGCCAGGGTTCATTCCCTTCCAGCCCTGAGGGTTTAGGATTCTGCCCGTGGTGCTGCAGGCTCAAGGGTGCCCGAGTGTGTCTCCTGTTTCTCCAGGAAGGTGGCAAAGGCACACGTGCCAGGGCACCCGGGCAGGGGTGTTGCCCTGGTGTGGCTGTTAGTGCCGCTTCCTTCTCCCAGCCCCCTGAGATCGCCGGGAACCCAGAGTCACCCTTCTGTAGGAAAGAGGTAGTGTTGGGCTTGGGACGCAAGGGCCAGCACGGTTGTAGAACCAACGGCTGGCAAGTTTGTTCCCCCATGATTTGCCTTCCCTGAAGTGTTCAGGCTCCCAGAACACACAGCCTCCTAAGGGGCCGACAGGAGGCACCCCATCCTGACCTGGCCCCTGTCCAACTCTGTGGTCAGCAGCACCCCGGGGCTCACTGCCCAGTTACAGGGGAAGCCTGAGACTCAGGGTGCCCAGCGAACAGGTCGTGGGTCAGCTGACTGCTCTCCTCTCCTCCCTTGCAGATCACCTCCAACGAGAAGCACCTGGAGAGTCTCAAGAGTGCAGGGAGCCTCCTTCGGGCTCTGGAGGGGCTGGCCCCGGCCGGGGGGTGAGTAGGCTTGGCAAACACTCCCCCATTTCTTTTTCCTCTGCTCCTTGTTTCCCCTACACACCAGGGACCATCACCCTCCCACCTGACACTGCCCACTGCGCCCTTCCACCCAGGCCCCACCTGCTGAGGGGTGCAAGACATGAGGTGGTGCCAAGCATTTCCGGGTGGTTTGTCTTCAGATTCACGAGGTTCTATGGAATCTGCTTCCTGGTGTTTTGAGTATTGTATTATTGTAAGAAAGCATGTGGTTGAGGTACTGGGGAGACAGTGATTCTGTGGAGAAGGCTCAGCTCCAACCAGCACTGCTGCATTAATCCTGGACTGGGTCAGGGTCAATCTCCTGGCCTCCCCCAGCTCTCTTACTTGTGCTTTCTGTGAGCTGAGGGGAAGGACAGGCTGACCTTGATGGGAGGGGCTCTTCTTGCCTGGGGGCCCCTGTGGTGTAAGGTGTGGACAGTGGCTCCTGGGCCAGATGGGTCCATCCCCAGGGATGGCAGCATCCTCAGCCCCGATGGGGCCCTGACAGGCGGGTTGTCTCCCTGGCTGGTCACTGGCAGCCGGCGCCACTCTGGCAGGTGGGATGGGCTCATGGCTCCACCAGAGTAGCTTGGCCTGAGCCAGGAGCAGGACGAGTTCCAGAGAGACCCCTGATGTGCAGAGCAGGAATACGTGGCCCCATCCCCCTGCACCCCACCTCTTCTTTGCAGCCCCCAGTCCCATTACTAGGAAGCAGCTCTACTACCATGTAGTTGGGAGTGTGCCGCCAGCTAATTTTACACTTCAGGGTGCTCTGCCACATGCCATTCTCTCCTCTGGCGACACAAGTGTATGTCTCAGACAATCTGCTCCAGTAACAAAGAGTCCGCTTTAAGGTCTTAATTGCACATCTGCATCTATGAGAATGAGAAATCCAGAGTTGCTGGCTGATTGGCCAGGAAGGGGCACCATGGAGCGTCTGGGATCTCTGCTGGTTGGCACAAGTTAGCTGCAGGCTGGCGCCAGGCAGGCTCCTTGTGGGCTCTGGGCTGACAGGCTCTGGCTGCCGTCTGCCTGACTCGCCCTCGCAGCTCGGCTTTGGTGCATCTGTCCAAAGCAGCTCAGACGCCAAGTGGTGGCAGGGCCAGGAGCTCAGGCGTAGCTTAGGGGGCTTGCTATGGTGGGACTGTGGGCTTTGGGGTCCTCACCTCCCACTCCTAGAGCCTGGGGATTCTGTCTGTGCTTCTCAAAATGATGCTCAGGGCAGCTTAGGGAAGCAGCTGGTCCATCAGGTACTTGGGTGAAAAGGAGGCCAGCCCCTTTGGAAGATGGGGCATTTAACCCTGGAAATACCTAATGTTTACTTTGGTTTTTCTCACAGGTCATCAGCCAACAGCGCAGTGGCATCCTTGGCCCTGGAGATCCTCCAAGCTGCTGGACGCTAGGCAAGAAGGCACTCAGCACAGCCTCTCTGCGGTCCCTACCCCCGGCTGCACACACTCCACAGGTCACCCACAGCTCTGTGTGGGTCCAATAAAGTCAGCTGAATCCAGAACCTCTGGCTGAGATGCTCTGACTCCAGCCCTAGAAAACCCACTCAGAACAAGCCTTCTCGGTGCCTGTTGGATGCATCTGGGAACCCCAGGTTTGTTCTCAGAATGCTTTCCTGCTGTGTGTGGGCTAGGTAGGCCTCTGCGCATCAAAGTGGAGGGAAGCTGCGGGCATCTCCCAGCCTCGGTCTCCTCCAGAAATTTACCAGGCAGGATGATGCAGGAATGCTCCTCCAGCTACAGAGCTAGGGCAAGCCTTTAGAAGCTTGTTTTATTTTACCTGCCTGACTTTTCATTTCAGGAATGAACTGATTCTAAGAATCCTGGGGAGAAATGGGCAAAACTCCACTCATAGGAGCAGGTAGTTAAAGCTCTGCCTAAAGGAATGCAGACTGCTCAAGGAATGCTGGCTTCCTTGCAGGTCTGCTCACCTAGGTGGGATGAAGGTATCGAGGTAGACTCCTTCCCCCGCCTTCTACCAGTGACCACCACCTCTCAGCCTCAAAACCTTCCCAGCTTCTACCTCACACATACACCCTTAACACCCCCAACACTGCGGAAGGGTGCTAGGACTGCAGCCCTCGGGGGTGGGGTTGGGGGGGGGAAGATCCAGGGCGGCTGGAGCCAGGTGAGCAAGTTGAGAATGTTCCTTGGCCTCCTTTCTGGGGCTGGTTTCCTCACGCTGCAGAATGAAAGGGCTAGACTAGATCAGCAGCGGCAGTGCCCCAGACTTCTCAGACAGAGGAGCCCCGTCCCCTGACGGGCTTCTGTCCCCGGTCACAGCCCCTGTGCAGGCAGGATGGGCAGGGCAGGCAGGAGCTACACAGGCATGAATACTGGAGCGGGTAGCCACTCCAGTGGGATCTTTGCGACCTACGGATCAAACCCAGGTCTCCTGCATTGCAGGATTCTTTACCATCAGAGCCCCCAGGGAAGCCCCCGTGGGCACAGAGGCAGCTCCATCTACTGTGTCACGGGAAGCTGGTCACACTGTCACCAACAGCCTCATCGGCTGCTGTGATCTGGGTAGTGTGCCAGCTTCCATGTGGCTTTGCAGTGAACAGCCGCCCTGTGCCCTCCTCCACAAAGGCATGGATGTAACTTACCTTATATTTAAACCCCACCACCTGCCAAGCACACCTTCTTATCTCCAGCTCATAGCAGAGGAAATCAAAGCTCAGAGCCAGCCCACTTGCCCAAGGCCCTGCTGTCAGGTCAAACTTAGGACTTGGACTCCAGAGCCTGTTTGTCCAGCAGTGGGATGTCGAGCTGTGAGTAGCTTGGGTGTAAGGGGGACCTGCACCCCGAAGCAGGCCATTTCTTTTGCTCCAAACTCCCTACTGCCCCCATGAGGAGGCCCCACAGAAAGTCCTGCTGGGCAGCATGCCCATCACCCAGCTGTGCTCCCTGGCCTGCCTGGATGTGCCTGTGCTCCAAGGGTGAGGGAGTCGGTGGAGGCCTGGTCTTCAGCTACTGTTGCTTTGGCCCCCTGGTGCAGGCAACAGGCACAGTTCTGTTTGCTCAGGCAATCCGTTCTCTCCTTTCACTCAGATCTTGAGGAAACCACCCTGGAGTTCTGGGCCAAGTCCTCCCAGAAGATATTTCAGAGCAATGGAATCTTCTTTACGCTTCTGTGTTGAGGAGGGAGGAGTCTTTGCTACTTACGGTGAAACAGGAAAGCTTTAACATTCCAAAGCCATGCTAAGTGGAGAGTCCGCAGCCTTGCTGCTTTGAGGAACAGGCAGGGGTGAGGGGAAGACAGGCCCTCGCAGGGTTTCCGTCCACCAGGGGAGCTCAACCCAGGGTGTCAGGCACTGATGCTAGCCCATGCCACATTTTGCACCCTGGTGTGAGGCTCTTCTGACCTCCTGGAGTTGGGGGATCCTTTATGTCCTTCTCACAAAGGCACCTTATGGAAAGCAAGAGCCCCAATCCTACGGAGCTGAGGTAGGGGATGTGAACTGTCTGGATGGAGGATGTGAAGAGGGTGTTGAGGGCGGTCACCCCTCCTGCCCCGCGTGGGAAGCCCGCACCCCTTTGTGGCCTCCCAGGCTCTGAGGAGAGCTGGCTGCCGGCCGCCCGTCAGCGCCCTTAGGGTTCTGGTGGCGTCCCAGGTGCCTGCTGGTCCTGCCCTTCCTGAAACCTCCGAGCGTCAGCTGACTGACTGCAGTCTACTGGCCGGGCCGCCCAGGGAGGAAGGCCTCACAGAGGTGAGGGCAAAGGCAGCAGAAGCATGCTGTGCGTGGAGAGGACTCGCGAGGCCACAGCAGGCTGCCTTATCTCCACTCACGGCAGGCCCGAGCTTTGAGAACTTGCCTCGACTTCCAGCCTGAATCCACGCCCAGTGAGCTGGCCCTCTAGGAACGTCTGTCTGGGGTGACTGGCCTGGGAGGCCTCCTGGGCAGAATCTGGCAGCTAAGCAGCAGCAGTGGAATTTCCTTCAATTATGGTTCTTGGTACTTGTCTAGCTGTTCGTGTCTCCCGTGTTACTGTGAGGTCACCGTGTCACCTCATGAGGTTCTCGAGTCAGTTCTGGGACTGCAGGGCAAGTCTCAGCCCTGTGGCACAGGTCAGAAAGTGGGGGCTCTGGTGGCCAAGGCTCTTGTCAAAGGTCTGGGTCTCTCCTGCCCCCACTTGAAGCAAAATGCCGTTTTTTCCTTACTCAAACCACAGCAAACTACGTAGAAGTCAGTCTCTCCGACACAGGGACTTAGAGGAACTGGAGGGAGGGGGAGGCTCAGTCCCTGGGGAGAGCTCTGGAGCAGGGGGACAAGACTAACCAACCTGAGGCGGCTTTGGCCCCAACAGCCTCAAGCCTGGATGAGCGGAGGGAGGGAAGTGGCAATCGGCAGCAGCCTCGGCCCAGAATCAGGACCTGGGCAGAGTGGGGGTCTTGACGTGGCCTGGAAGAAGGCTGGCCTTTTACACCTGCCCTCCACCTCTCAGCGGCGTGATGATGAGGTGGCAGAGACCTGTCACCCCGTCCTCTAGCCTCCTCACCAGATGGGGAGGCAGCATGGACACCACACACGACGCTGATGCTGAGAAAAAGCAAACACCACCTTTTCAGGGCCCCATACCCCTGCCGCCATTATTTTCTAATCTCATTTGCCACGTGTTCACTCAAGCAAGACAGTTAGGTTCTCACCTACTAGAACAAAACACGTGCAGTGGAACAACGCAGCTTTCTGTTAGCTTACAAACTATACAGCATGGGGCAGATCTTCTGTTTTTATTACACTGATCAAGACAAAAATGAAAGAGCATATTTACCTCAAGATCCTTCACTATCAAGGATTCAAATAACCAGATCAAAGCATCAGGTCTCAAACACCTCCTCCAACATGGAAAAATTGATTTTTCAGCTCAGTGGTGGTCACTGCAATGGGATCAAATGTCCTACGCACCTCCACCTCCAGGTAATAAATCACTATTCTGATTTTTTTGGTAATTATTTTTTTGCTTTTTCATTTTACCACCTGTGCATGGTTTGCTTAAGATAGTCTGCCCCGTTTTTGCACCTGTATAGTCCTACAGCATGCCTTGGCGACTTGTTCTTTGCTCATATCAATGTGAGACATACCCATACTGTTGTGTTAAAATTGTATTTTACTGCACTGTCGCTGTTCTCTTGCAGTTACTGGACACATGGGCGTCTGGTGTGGGCTTTTATACTTTGTTCATCATGGATTTTTTCCCCTGCATTAACTTCAGTTTTATCCAAATGGCTGCCCACCTGTTCCACACGTTACTGAAAAGTCCCTCTTTTTCACACTGACCTCCAGTGCTACCTTCCAAGTGTCTGTTGTCATCTCATTCTGTTCCCTTAGTGTACACTTCTATTCATGTGCCAATAACAGTGTTAACTCACTACTGACCGCGTGAATTTTTTTCAGAAACTAACACCCATGACTGGCAATTTTTCTTTTGACTGGCTAAAAATTCTGTTGTTTCACTAACATTTTGTAGATTACCTGACACATCTTTAGTCTTCTGATTTTTGTGAAATGTTGTCTTCAAACCAGTTTTCTGCAGAAGCAAAGAAGCATTCTCCAGAATTGTGAGTTTTCTTTTTCTTTCTGTATCAGAATCAATCACTAAGGTTTTTTGTTGGTATAATATTCATTGTCTGAATCAGAACTATATTCTAAAGAACTATCATCTTCTGGGACACTAGTATATATGTTGCTCTAAATTTTGAAAATTTTACATTTACACACAAAGTTGGAACAAAAAGCTAACAGAACAAAACGTGAATGACAATCTTAAGTTGTATGCGCTAACAGTTTCTCACAGTGATGTTAATTCTCTCCCGCTCTAAAAATGTGTTGATACATCTCCAGTCAATAATGTGTTAACTACCTCTAGCTTTACCTCCGGTTTTACAGTCAGGCCTTCACAGCTCAGAGAACAGCAAGTCCTCTTATCTGATTTTTCACAAGTGTCCTGGCCGTTCCTGTCACTTTTTCCTTTTCAGTACACTGCAGAGCTACTTTGCTGCATCAGATTAACCTTCATATTAAGTTTTTACATGGAACTTCAAAATTACAATGATTTTAGGCCAAGCTCTGAAGTATTTTCTGGTTTTAAAAACCAGACAATGAAACACCCTGCTGTGGTTCTTTATGTTAAAAGTTGAACTCACTATAAAGATCTTCACTCTAACCTACTAACAGTTCTTACAGTGCTACCTTCGTTCTGTCATTGCACTGGAAGCAGAACTGCCCCTTCACCAAATACACAAATGTTTTCCCTCTCAGCCCAATTAGACCACAGGGAAGAATTTATAAAGCTTTTATACAGGGTCCTCATCCAACAAGGAACTGAGTAATGTTTAAATACACAGTCAATCAGAAACAGCTCTCTCTCAGTACAAACACTTTCACTCTTTTTAAAGCCCCAAAACACAAGTTCTAACAGGTATACTGACTCTGCCCTCAGGGATGAACTAAAAACTTGTCAGACCTACCACCAGGATGACAGGCTCACCTGGCAGAGAGCAATG